CAACAATATATACATGAAGTGGTGTAAATAAGATGTGGATACTTGAACATTCCAAGGAACTTTGGACAATTTGAAATCACAAGATTTTACAAAAAATCAACAGCTTAAAAACTTGGAAACTCGTAAATTCACTTATCTTAATATCATTGGTCATTTGCAAAATTATTTTGTTAAAACACATTCTGATTGTACACACAAATACTCTGAAGTTGACACCAAAAAGATGCATGAGTTTCTGATCAACAATATCTATGTTGTTTTCTGAGACCAGGTCTTCCATCAATCTGTTGAAATTTTATGGGTACCAAATACACCCCCTCATAAGCAGATCTGAGGTTATCTAGCGCAATTTACTAGTATTTACGTCATTGCTATCCAAGTGCATCATTCTACCCCCACTGCGAAGGAGAGGGGGTATACTGTTTTACCCTTGTGTGTATGCCTGTGTTTCTGTCCTTAACAAATGTCTGGTCGCAGTTTTCTAAGCAACTACTCATCGCAGATACTTGAAATTTAAACACAATTGATTGTAGCACAATATTTTTTTGCAAATTACCAATGACAAGGAAAGAAATTTCACGAGTTGAACTTTTTTAAAACAAGAGGCCCAAGGGCCGTAACGGTCACCTGAGTATAGTACAACAATTTGGAAGATCCATAGAATAATTTTTTTTACTCATATTGAGTCGCCAATCAGGATCAATGAGTGTAATTAGTCTAATACTTAGTAACAACTCATAAATTAATTTGTCCCCAATTTAACATTATCACCATTTAGACTATTAACGTACTATTAAAGCTTCTGTTCAATATTAAACCCCAATCAATATTTCTCACATTGGTCTCTCTTGGTTATTGAAGAACATTTTTATTAAGCTATTTTTGTCACATTTCCATTTATTAGGTCACCTGAGTAAACTCAAGTGACCTATTGCTATCCGTTTTCGTCTGTCGGCGTTTGTTAACATTTGAACATTTTCAGCTTCTTCTTCGCAACCGCTCCACCAATTTTGGCATAAAGCATCTAATGGGTGAAGTGGAACAAAAATTGTGAATTTCATGGTCCCTGTTCTCCTAGGGCCTGAGAGGTGGGGCCAAAACCAATAAAATTAGTGCAATCTTTAAAAATCTTCTTGACTCCTGGACATCAAGCAGTCAACCTGTTGGCATGATTGTAATAAGCATTGAGTCCTCACCAAAATTATGAAATTCATGGCCCCAGGGTCAGGGGTTCTAGTGCTCGAGCGGGGCTATATAGATTATTTAGTGAAAAACGAATTAATTCTTTGAAAATCTTCTCTGCTTCTGGGTATTAAATAAACTAAGTACATAGTTATGATAGAAAAGAGTGTCTCTTCCAAAATTATGAATTTTATGACCCCAGGGTCAAGAAATTCTGGTGTTAAGGCGGGGCTCTTTTGATTATATAGTAAAAATGCATTAACTCTTTGAAGATGTTCTCTGCTCCTGGGTATTAAATAAACTAACTAAGAACATTGTTACAATGAGCAAGAGTGTCTCTTCCAAAATTGTAAATTTTATGGCCCCAGGGTCAGGGGCTCTTTTGTTAGGGCGGAGCTCTATTGATTATATAGTAAAAATGCATTAATTCTTTGAAAATCGTCTTCTCTGCTCCTGTGTATTAAATAAACTAAGTACATAGTTATGATGAGCAAGAACATCTCTTTCAAAATTGTAAATTTTATGGGCCCAGGGTCGGGGGTTCTGGTCTTTGGGTGGGGCTCTATTTATTATACAGTGAAAATGCATTAAATCTTTAAAATTGTCTTCTCTGCTCCTGGGTATTAAGCAGATGAACTACTAAAGTCGTTATGATGAGCAAGGGCCCTTCTCCCATAATTTCAAGGCCCCAGGGGCACCATAGAGGGGGGTCTACTTATATACTGAAAATGAATTGATTGTTTGACATCTGCTCCTTGGTATCAATCAATCATTTTTGATAAGCAAGGGCGCTTTTTTTTAAATTGTGCAATGTGTGGACGTAGGGTCAGGGGTTTATGTGTGGTATGGACACTACTGATTATTGCTGAATATTACCGACAAGTTGAAATTCATTTTTGTTCCCCTACCCTGCCTATGGGTATTAAGTTACCAAACTAAGCAATTGCTAAGTGCATAATTATGACGAGCAATGGTGACTCTTTTAAAATTGTGAATGCCATAGCATCTAGCTTAAAACATTAACCAAATTCAATCACTGGAAAGTTGTTGCATGATGCCCAGGTGACCTATAAGGCCCATGGGCCTCTTGTCTTCTACTTTATACAAGTCTATCTGATCATTAAAACTTTGAAAGTAGTTTTTATTTCATACAATAATATTTCTTTATAAATACATTATTTACATTGATAAATTATCAAAAATGAATTGCAAAGGGGAATAAATTCATTCAGTAGAATACAAATCTACAATGTATAGAGCCCTGGCCGGGACCAGAACACTTAACCAAATGGTTCAGCCGTTTTAAAATCTGGTAAAAATATATTTTACAACATTTACTCTGTTTGCTTTTGATATGCCAAGGAGTATATTCATTTTTCTAAGAAAATAATGCATTTTCACTAGAGATTCAACACACCCCTACCCTAACATAAAAACCCATGACCTAGGGGTCATGAATTTCACAGATATTCAACAGGTACCCTAATCATAACTTTGCAATTAGTTGAAGATTTTCAAAGATTTAACAAAATTTTCACAATATATTCAATAGAACCCCCACCTCATATCTTTTATAAGAAGCACCCTTATTCATTATAACTATGCACTTTGTTTATCTGCCAAACACTAAGGATTAGACAGGACTGTTAAACAGAATAAATGCATTTTCACAACATGATAAATAGAGTCCTGCCCTAACACCAGAACTCCTGACCCTGGGGCCATAAAATTCACAATTTTGGAAGTGAAATTCTTGCGCATTGTAACTATTTTCTTAGTTAGTTTATTAACAGATCTGAATACTTTACTTATGAAAAATTTAAAGAAAAAAATCATAAATAAATCATTGAAATTCATTATCTGAGTTTTGTAAATCTATCAATGACTTAGACATAAGTGTGTTGCTGTCACTGACATTTAATTTAGTGCACATTAAATGTGGTGAAAAAGCTTATGCTCATTGAACTCTTTTACCTAGACTTAGTGCTACATGTATGCATATATGTGTAGATGTTTTTTTTTTATCAATATTTTGTAATAAATACTTCTAAAATTCACTTCACTTACTTAGAAAACATTGAATTGCCGCACAGGTAAATTCCGGAAATGAAAACAAAATTATGTCGGAAATGAAAACAAAAAATGTCGGAAATGAAAACAAACAATGTCGGAAATGCTATGCATTTTTCCGGAAATGAAATGCAGCGGTAATTTTGAAAATGCCCTATGACAAGGTAAGTAAATTTTCGACTTCAATTTTAGTTTAAAAAAAACAGCTGTCGATGATATTAAAAAGCCTGGACTTCAATGTATTGTTGGGAATGGTTGTATATAAAGTTGAAAAGTCCTAAGTTTTTATGCTTTTAATTTTGGTTAAATTTTGTTGATTTCAATTTTACCAAAAGTTCCTTGGAATTTCTTATTATGGGTACATGTATCCACGTCTGATTTACACCACTTCTCGAATATATTGTGGTACAGTACTCCTGAAGTTTCCCCTTCGCTTCCGTTTAGAATTACTGGAACCCTCTATGTATCTTTATAAGGATTTTTATGATTTTTAGCTCTACTGGTCAGAGACCAGAAGAGCTTATGCGATAGTAATGCGTCCGTCGTCCGTCTGTAAACAATTTTTCAAAAATGCTACTCCTCCTACAGTTTTGGTTCGATTTCAATATAACTTGGCACACAAGTAGTCTACACTAAGATACATAATTCTGTGCATCGGTTTTTGATTTCGATGAACGGTGTTGCCATGGTTACTAAAAATAAAAATATCTGTGAAATTCTTTGAAAATGCTACTCCTCCTACAGTTTTGGTCTGATTTCAATATAACTTGGCATACTAAAATACATAATTCTGTTCATCGGTTTTTATTTTGATGAGCGGCAAGGATCATTTTTCTATTTATTGCTGTTTTAAAGTTTCAAGTCCCAACTGCTACTTTTTTCTTCCTTTGTTTTAAGTATAAACCAGTAGAGCTACAGTCTCGACAGAGACTTCTGGTTTAATACTAAGGAGCAGAGAAGAAGATTTTTAAAGAAATAATGCATTTTCACTGTATGTTCTAAATAGCCCTAGCACCAGAACCCTCGACCATGAATTTCTCAATTTTGGTAGAGGGCTCATTGCTTATTACAATCATGTCAACAATTTGACTGTTTGATGTCTAGGAGTGAAAAAAGAAGATTTTTAATGATTGCATTAATTTTGAATTTTATCACAACCCCCAGGCCCCAGGGATATGACCCTGAAATTCACAAATTTTGTTCGCCTTCTCTCATAGATGCTATATGCCAAAATTGGTTGAAATTGGTTAAGCGGTTTCAGAAAGGCTGACAATGTTCCAATGTTTACGGACGATGGATAAAAACTGATAACAATAGGTAACCTGAGTGACCTAAAAAAAAAAAAACCCAGCTGTCAATGATATCAAAGAGCCTGCACTTTAATTCATCGTAGGCCGGGAATATTTGTTTATAAAAATGAAAAGTCGTCAGTTTTATGCTATTGATTTTGCTAAAGAAAAATTGGGATTTCGAATATTTCAAGAAAAACAAATTATAATTATATATTGCTATATATGTAGAGCGAAAAACATTTAACATCTAACTGACTCGTTAAGGTCAAGATTCAAAACAACAGATATACTGTGGAATGGCCATTGTTTACTGGGGACCATGAACTCGTCTGACCAGCAAGAGTAACGAAATGATGTCCCAAATACCATAAAATTTTGCTTCCCTACATTCAAATGATTTCACAGTAATTGATTGATTACCCTTTACCATAACTAATTGATTTTAGTTAATTGGCATCATAACTCAAAATGTTTTCTTTCAAATAGTTTTCGCAATCTTGATAGGATTGACACTCGACTTTTTTTCAAGGACTTTTCTTCTGATGCTGAGGTTTTTAAGATCCTATTCTCATCAATACATAGGCGGGAAGGTTTTTGACAGCTGCTGTTCTTTTTTCCTCTTTGGAGTTGCTTTGTAATATCCACCAGGACTTTGTCGATTTTCCATTGTAAAGAAACGGAAACTTCCAAAAAATTGCAGTTGTTCTCTTGTGCTAATGTAACACCCTCTGTAAATAGTAAAAAAGAATGTGAATTTCCGTACTTGTATACATTTTGTAAAATATTGCATACATGTTATTTTAACGATTTTATACCTGTAAACAACAAAAGCCATTTTGAATTCACCTCGTCAATACCGTCTCAGAGTGGGTTTTTTTTTCTATTTGCAACAAAGGCGAAAGAGGAAAGAGGATGAATGGTTAGCAAGATTTTTCTTTCACATTTCTTACCAGCAAAACCGACCTACCCGAACTGGAAACTTCCCGAAATCGTATTAGGTCTACTTTGTTGGCTATGATATATATAGGTTTTGTGTTGCCTGTTTCTCTCTTGATCTTCTGTAGTTTATTGGCGATGAAATTAAATGACCTTTTATCTGTTACCGAGTATACCATCAGAAAGGCATCGTATCGGTTGCTGTCTCCATGATTCTTAAGAAAGAAAGCACAAATAAGATACAATTTTTAAGAGAGAACAAAAATACAAGTACGTGACGAATATCAAGTGTACGTTTTTTCTAGAAATGTAGACTTACATGTTTTTTATTTCTATGTAAATTGTATTAATTTTTATTTGATATCTTCTAATTTAAATGCATGCTGTTTTGGTTTAAACTTCATCGATATAAATTTACCTGAATATACATATCAGCTTCCACAAAGTTAAGAATGGATTCTTTTCCTCCTAAAACTACAGGGACGGATGCATGATTTGGATCTGGTCCTGTGAGAAAAACGAAAAAGCATCATTGAATTACCAAAACCTTTCCATGAGAAATATAAAAGAAGCATACATTTAAAACAATCGAAATTCAACTTCCCACCTTCTGGGCATGATGTAAGATACTCAGATGTTCTCATCTGTTGCAACAGAAATGATTTTCCAACTCCCGGAATCCCAAAGATGATGATATTGTGTCTTTTATTGTTGCTTTCTTGGAAACAATCATCACTTGTGAAAGACATTGTAGAAAATCCAGACCCTCGCCTTTCTTTGTTCTCCATTTCACTATTAGGCAACGAACTTGTCGAAACTCGCAGTGAATCGCCTCGATTCTTAAAGCCCCATTTTGTCGTGCGAAAGTTTCGAACCCTCTCCACAATTTGGGTTTCTTCTGGCCCAGAAGATTCAGTGAATGTTTCTGAGCGATTTCGATCAGATTGGTAAAGCGTTCTGTCAAATTTTCCAAACTCAGAGAAGGACCTAGTCTGAGGTTGAAGTCGACGAGTAGTTTTTCTTGATTCTTTTATACTCCCTTCCATATTGCTGCAAGGTAATGTTGATCACAGACATGCTTAGGTTTTCTTAACTTATTTATATTGTTCGGCTAGACATATGATTTGTTTGTCATTTTAACACCAACAGATTTTCCCCTGGAAATACCATCATTAATTTAAAAAATGTGATAGACAATTGGGCATACCTGACAAAAACAATAAGCGTTTGATACGGTCATAACCTATCACTTAATACATTTATCAAGCAACAAATAAAAACAAAATTTTATTGGCCAAGAAGATTCAGTGAATATTTCTGAGCTATTTCGAACATGTTGGTCTAGTATTTCTCAAGTTTTCAAATTCAGAGAGGGACCTATTCTGAGGTTGTAAACGCAATAGAGTAGTTTTCTTTGATTCTTTTTTACTCCCTTCCATATTGCTGCAAGGTAATGTTGCTCATAGGCATGCTTGATTTTGGATAGCATTTAAGTTTGTTTTCTTCTGCTAGACAATTATTAATTAGTGATTTTAACACCAATAGATTTTTCTCCTGGAAATACGATCATTACTATTAAAAATATGATACTGAGACAATTGGGCATACGTGACTTAAACAATAAGCGTTGGGTATGCCATGACCTACCACCACGGTGTTAATTTAAAATACATGTATTGAACAAATAAAAATTTCACTTTCGTTGGTGTCAGGAATTGTCTATGCCAATGACGGATTGTTTAGCAGAATATTGAAAAATCATTCCAATTGAATTTGAAAATCTCAAACAGAATTGTGATGCTAGCACTGGGATTAAATAAATAAAAGATTATTAAATTTCAACATTTCTTCTTTTTTATTTTGCAAGTCCGTTATATATCTCATTTCGACTTCATCATATTGTTTTGTTTTTTTTTACACTTTGGCTATCAATGCTAGTATTTTTGAGTTAATTGCAATAAACGTGACACAGAAATCCTAATTCAACTCAATCGTTCATTTATAGTATTTCAGCAAAGATACAATGCAATCGTCTTTACTACAATTAATCAGTGTTTCAAAACTTTCTTCAATTGTTTAAGAAAATGTAAAATAAAAAAAAAATGTGACAACTGATTTCGATGATATGAAGGAACTGAAACCAGCGGGCCTTTGAATTCATTTGAGAAAAAATGGTTTTACCAATATCATTACGTTAAGCTGTCTTTAAACAAACGTCCCCTTGCCCTCTCCTGACTCATAATAAAACAATCTGGTAGGTAGTTAGGGGGAATATTTTATTATTTAAAAAATCATGCAACAAAAAATATTTTAGAATTAAAATAAGAAGAGGACATTTTAGATTAAAAGAAAATACTTTTTCCTAAGAAAAGAAAAGAAATGTGAATCGGTCTGTATTCAATACGGGGAACGAGCAAAGAAACTGTAGAAACAAGATAGATTGACCTACCCTAACTCCTAAAATATTCAGATTGATAAAAAATAAATAAATGTGTACCTACATGTACATTGTATTAAACAAATGTACCATATTAGTTCTAGTAATCTGATTTTGTAAACTTCTGTCCATTCGAAACACTGCTTCAAGTTTGGCACCTGACAAAATCTGGTTTGCATATATATTTGCATTTTTTCCTGCACTGAATCTCTCAATTTTCTCATTAAATACCTTTTTCTTGTGAAAATGCTTTTTCTTGAGCATCTAAGTGTCCTAGCATTTCGTCTTTTTACACATGTTTGCGGCTTTTTGAGCATTGAGAATTCCTTGCATTAAAAATAGTTCTTTCCTACCTTTGATCTGAATTTCTTTCTTTCTGTCCGAGTTCCATGGTCAATTTGTTTCTTTGCATCTTTTATTTAGATTGTGGTAAATGTGTATCGCTTGTGTTGTTTTTATTGATACATCAATACCTTACAAAGTGGTTACACAAATCCCATAGTTTTTGTTTTCAAACATATCTTGCCTCTCTTGCACGATTTAACGAGCAAATCCTCTGGTTGTCTTTCCAGATATGTGCACCCATTATGCCTAGGTCACATTTAAGCCGATGGTCGGGCGACTAAATTTTTCTGGTCTTGTCGGCTGAAAGAACAGGATCGGCCGACACAGAGCAGTCACATTATTTTCTAGGGACACCGATGACTTGGATGAATAACACAAAAAAGTCCTTTTTCTTTAGAAATCAGCATTTTTTTCATAGATCTATATTTAGATAGGGGATGTGAGTAATGTTTGCAAGGCAGAGTGGCAGAATCTTATAAAATTGTGACTCAGTGTTGAAAATGTGTGCAAAATTTGTATGGAATTGCATAAAAACGACAAATGGTGCATATCTAAGCAGAAAAGAATACTTAAGATTACTTTATATCTTACGGATTGATTATTTATGTTATTTCCGTTCAAAAAATTTATATCAATCCAAGCATCAAAATTTTGTTTGTGTTATGTATCCTTAATAGGTTAAATATTCACAAGTCGGCCAATCGTCGACCGATCATCGAGCTTTGAGCTACAGTTTGATTTTTACCGTCGGTCGAAATTTTCAACACCCTTATTGTCCAACGACGAACGACCGACTTAATAAACTGACCGCCAATGGTCGGACGATGATCGAAGGTTGGTCGACGGATAACTGCAGTTGAAGAAATCGGCCACCGACGCATGAAAAATTATAACTTGGACCGATGGACACAAAATTGGTCGGCCGACAAAAAAATAAGTCAAAATCGGCCAAGACAACGGCCGATGAACTGACGACTGTCACCCGAAGAATCCCATTTTTGCTTCAAAACCCGTCGGCCGTTGGTCGTTTTTGGAAATTTTGATGCATGGGTTGATAAATATTTTTGGAACAGAAATAACATAAATAATTAATCCGTAAGATACAAAAAAAAATCTTAAGCATCCTTTGCTGCCTAGATATGCGCCATTTGTTGTTTTTTATGCAATTTTATACAAAATTTTGCACACATTTTCAACACTGAGTCACAATCTTACAAAATTCTGCCACTTTGCCTTGCAAACATTACTCAGGTCACATATCTGAATTTAGATCTATGAAAAATATTGCTGATTTCTAAAGAAAAAGATTATTTTTTGTGTTATTTATCCAAGTCATCGGTGTCCCTGGGAATTAATGTGACTGCTCCGTGTTGCCTGAACTTGTGTCGGCCGATCATGTTCTTACAGCCGACAAGACAAGAAAAATTTAGTCGCCCGACCATCGGCTTAAATGTGACCTAGGCATTAGATATCATTTGTTGATGATGGGGAAGAAACACTTGAAATGGAAGGAGTGGTAGGTAAACGTGGGCTTGTTGGGTGAATGATGGCTGAGGACGTTGATGTTCGATAAGCACTTAAATAAATACCAAGCTAGAAGTCCATCGGGGCCACAACGCTCATCCGAGTTACTTAGCCCCTGCTCTTCTCCATCAGATTTGTTACAAATTAAGATGCACGCCAATCTAAAAGTTTGCTTGCCATTTTTGACCCCACCCTATGTACAGAGGCCTTGATTTGAACTAACATAAATCTACACTACCATGCAAACGATGTGTCCAATAATTACGAATCAACAAATCTTTTTAGCACCCTCTTTGTTGAGCTATGTCATATGGAGGAATTTATTTTTGTTTGATCCGATGTCATCTTCTTGTTTTCTGTGCATCTGTCTGTATAATATGTAACACATCTTTGTCACAGTTTTCTCAACAAGTCTTCGCAGATGCTCGAAATATTAGCACATTCTTTGTATAGGGATGACATACTGTGGGCTTCATTATTATTAAAATCAGATGTCGACTTCCAGTTTATCCGTGCGTCCGTCCGTGCCATACATGATGAATTTTCGTCTCAGTTTTTTTTCTTTCAGGAAATAGTTGGCATACTATCTTGTGGAATTCATTTTTTGTAAAAATCTGATGTCTTTGTCACATTTTACTCAGCAACAACTCATAGCAGATGCTCGTAATATTAGCACACTTTCAATTAAGGCATGCTAGATGAGATGGTGGCCGATGGGATTCATTTTTGTAAGGAACTGGCATCACCTTCCTCTTTATCCGCACGTTTGTCACGTGACTGAATTTGTGAATACTAGTATTCACATGATAGTGTATATAACAGTGCGACATATAACTCCGGACAAAACATTTGTCCGAAGGTTCGCCAACCTCTTTTCCGAAGATACATGGAAACCATTTATGTCATCTGGTGGGAGTTTTTAAATCACACATCATGGACTAAACTTTACACCTGAACATATTTCAGGATATTACACCTGCAATCAAGACATCTAATGGGATAATGGTGGTTTTTTTTCTCCTAACCAATATCCCACCATTATTCTGTGGGAGAAAAATGTTTTCTGTGGGAATTTTTCTGCTATAGGAGAAAAAAATCCCATTATTCATTCATAATTGGAGTTTTTATCCCATAAAACTGAATATGGAGAAAACTCCCATCTATTTTCAAATATGGGATTTATCCCATCTAAACTCATAAATGGACCATTTTTTATCCCTCAGAATAAAAAGAAACAGTATTCCTGCTTATTTTAAAAAAATATATATTTTTCGGTTTTTCTGGTTACTTTACAGTATTCTAAACGTTCAATAAAACTTCATTAAAATAATTATGCATTATTAATGTTTTAATAAAACACCTGTTTTTCAAATCAGTTTTGAAATACAAATTTTTGGTAACAGTGGCTTGCTCCCAGCATGTAGTAAAATAGTTTATTTATTTAAAAAAAAACTTCTAAAAGCATTTGTTGTACTGGTATTCCGTATTTTTAGCTCACCTGAGCCGAAGGCTCAAGTGAGCTTTTCTGATCACATTTTGTCTGTCGTCCGTCTGTCTGTCTGTCCGTCCGTCCATCTGTTAACTTTTCACATTTTTGACTTCTTCTCAAGAACTACTGGGCCAATTTTAACCAAACTTGTACATAGCATCCTTAGATAAAGGGGATTTTAAACTGTTAAAATAAAGGGCCAAGACCCCTCGCAAGGGGAGATAATAAAGAAAATACAAAAATAGGGTGGG